GACGGGGACAGTAATGGCCCTGGCTGCAGCCGCAGCTCCTGGTGTTTTGTGAGCCTGAGGAGCCCAGTCCTGCCTGAGCCACAGCTCGCTGCTGCTTGTTCCGCTCAGCCGTTCGTTCCTGTCACGCCTCTGGTTGGCCTGTCAGAAACGATGACCCGTCCTCATGCTTGCTGAGTGAACTGTGCCTCAGTAAACTGGATTTATGACTTGTGAGCAGATACAGCATTTGGATTAGGGGATAACAGGGAACGCTACTTGCAGGAACAGTTTGAACTCATTTAAATGTGTTTGTCTCCAGTGCGTGGTTGCGGCGGTTTGTCAGGGAAAAGGAAACCCACGTCATCTGAGTACCCGATCTGGCCGTCTGCATAGGTGGGCCCATGAGACGTGAGTGATGTTCCTCCTTGGCCGAGTAAGCGCGTGGAGGAATCAACCACTCACGCTCACGAAGCTACGAAGATGAGGACACGAGAACTAGGTGACGCGCTGTGCCCTCGGCTAGCGCGATCCTTCCAGCATCCCCACCACCAACGGTCCCCGCCTCTGCCTGCCCCTAGTCCCTGGCTCCCCACCCCTCAATCCCAGCATCCCCACAACCAACGGTCCCCGCCTCTGCCTGCCCCTCATCCCTGGCTCCCCACCCCTCACTCCCAGCATCCCCACCACCAGTGGTCCCCGCCTCTGCCTGCCCCTCGTCCCTGGCTCCCCACCCCTCACTCCCAGCATCCCCACCACCAGCGGTCCCCGCCTCTGCCTGCCCCTCGTCCTTGGCTCCCCACCCCTCACTCCCAGGTCTTCATCACCTTCCTCTTCTTGAGGCTCATCTTGCATCTACTTCTCGTGTATCTTGAATGGGATATGCCAAAGTTCTCAGCTTTTCTGTGTTTTGTTTCTTTGAATAATATAAACGCCAAAATACATTGCAGTATGATTCTTTACATGTGAAACATTTAAAAATTATGTGTGATTTTTTAACTTCTGAAAGTAATTCTTTTTTGAACTTTGTTGGCGTGTTTAGTGTTGGTTAAAAATTCATCTTCGGATATGGAACTGAACACATCTTGTTTCATTCATTGGCTGGTTTGGGAGTGGAGGAAGGAGCATTCTTGCTTCAAACCCCAAATAGGAGGCGGTCATCCTGGCCAGCAGGTGGCATGTACCGTCAACGTTTGCTTGCTGGATGGTTGATGTTCAAGAAGCCAAGCATTTTCTTTGTTCCCCATGTATTTTCTGAGTTGAATTAACTCCTGTATTTCTGAGCTATGGTTAAGACTGACAGTGTGGTACAAATAACAAAAACACCTTTTGCCATTTGGAATTCTCACATGCACTTATCTAGACTCCCCAGATCTGGAGATTATTTTCTTCTGACAATCTTTACATGAGTAGTTTTCAATGTGGAGATGAAGATATTCTTTCTCCATTCCTAGTGCAGAATTCTGCATATGAGGTTATATACTATTTACTGATAGCTAATTAAAACCAATAAATCTTTGAGGCTGACTGTAGGAGTGTATAGATCAGAAGAATGGCGCTGAAAGGAAAGAAAAATGTCCCAAGAATAATTTTTACATAGTGATTACCACAATTCCTATGGCCCCAGGATTCTAAACTCACCAAATCACTGCACGTGGATGATCTCGACTGATGGTCACTGTGTGACCTGAGCTTTTATGAAAGACAGATGTTTGTGGGACAAATTGTAACACTTATTCATTATTGATAACCACATTCAGGATGGGAATTTGTACCTGACCAATTTAGTGAGTACATTTTTGAGGGAAATATCACAGCTGGAGTAGAGAATGCCATGTAGGCGATTGTCATATAACGATTCTGAATGGAAGAAAAAAATAATGAAACCACAATAAACATCTTGGAGCTTTTGTGTTTCCATAAAGGTAGGACGGGCACCGAGCAAAGGTCATGCCATCACCACCTTCCCCGACGCCAGCCAGAAGGAGCCGAGAGCCGGTAAGAAGACGACCGCCATCCGGTTTTCTAATGGCAACTTGAAGAAGATCACGCCCGATCAGAGAGTGGCGAGTACAACGCATGTATCTGTTTAAAAACAAATCAAAACCAAGTCAGTCATTAGGAAGAATTTTGCAAATCCACACCCGGTTCCCCTGGGTGTTCGGGATATGGGCTGAGGGGGGCGGGCAGAACACAGGCTGTGCAGTCCAGCGGGCCTGTCTGTGAGCCAGGCTGTTCTGCCCCCTCGTGTGCTCAGGCAAGTGAGACCTTGATGAGACCCTGCGATCTGCGCGGCCACAGAGGCGTGCACCAGCACCCTCCTGGCTCTGAATTCCCGCTCTATCCTTCAGTCCTTTTTTCAGCTTTTCCAAGCCTCTGCAAAATATGGCTGATAATTAGGACCTAACTCAAAAGATGGTCATGAAGTAACATAGTCCATTAAATAGTGTCTCCTCTGCGGAACTCTCTAGAAGGACAATGGTAAACACTTAGGAAATGTGCACTGATGGCAGAGTAGCACTAGTATTGCCACAAAGTTAGGCAGGGTCAGGAGCTAATCCCTGGCCCAAGCTGGAGATGCCATCCAGGGAGAGGCTTTCACAGCCAGGAGGAGGCACCCTGCCCCGCAGCCGCCTCACGATGGAGCAGAGAGCGCCGGCTTGGGGTCCACAGGCTGGGCTGAATCGCAGTTCTGCCAAACCAGCTGTGCCAACACCAGCCAACGAATTGTCCTCACCAGGCCTCCATTTCTGCATTGAAAAAAATCAGGAAATATTTCCAGTCTGCTTCTCAGCTGGGGGTAACCATTGTCCCTGTCCTGGGGACATTTGCAGTGTCCCAGTTGGGGGTGGTGGGGGCGCCACTGGCATGGGGTGGCGGGAACGCTCCCATACGTCCCAATGCACAGGACAGCCCCCACCCCCGCAGGATGATCCAGCTCCAAGTATCAGTGGTTCTGGGAAAGCCCTTTGTAGGTAATTAGAAGGGCCACAGTTACGCCATGCTTGTGTTGCTTGCTACACATTGCTCAGCAGCTGACAACCGCTGCTACCATGAGGGCAAACCTGCTAAAACAGATGATGCGTTTGCGGGGGAAAGCCACAGATCACAGGAGCTGGGGACCCCCTTGATGCTGAGGGGCTGTGAGGATGCTGTGACCCCCGTGGTTCACACTGCGTGTCTCTGTGTGTGCAGGGACTGTATATGGAAAACACAGATGCTGAGGAGTCTGGAGGTCTTACAGGCAAGATCTCCAGGGTGGCACCTTTGTGCAGCT